GTCTTCACTGAAATTAGCAGTTTTGTACTTGAGTTGGGAAATCTACTCAAAGTAAACGCAGGTAAACTCACATCGGCCTCGGTTCTTGTGCCGGTCATCGTTATCGATAGCACGACTGAAACGTTGAACTTCAACATAGAAACGACGGAATAGCACTATCCTTCATATGAGTGCTGAAAAGTAGTTATCGGAGACCAGCCGAATGTGAGTGGCTTTTTTATTGGTTAAGTATTGAGTTATTTAATCCATGAAGACGCAGGTTATTCTGATCTTAAAGCAGGGCTATGTTTCTTTCGGCTGAACACAAGGGAGTATTTAAAAAGAGACCTGTAGGCGAAACATGGCGAAATTGTTACACTGAAGAGTGCACTCTTCCATCATCTCTCTGCGCAGGTCACGACGCCTCCATTCGTCTCTGGGACGTAGAGACACGAACCTGTGTGCAGGAGTTCACCAGCCACCGAAGGAAGCACGACGAATCAATCCACTCGGTGGCCTTTCACCCTACGCTGCCGCTCATCGCCAGTGCAGGCGCAGACGGGCTTGTGAAGGTTTACGTCTAAGCTCTCCTATCCCTTTTTCCCTCCCCATCTCATGTATATGACCCGTATGTTTGTCTGCTCCTGATCTCATTCTTCAGCCTTCATCTCTATCATTGCCATCATTAATGTGCCTGATAATTCGTTTTAAATCACGCCTATTTCTAAGTATTTTAAGCCGTACTTGAACGACAATAAAGTGAAATATTTCCAGTCCTCTTCGACTTGTCTTCTGGTATCTGCTTGTCTCTTCAAGTGTACTACCAAGATAAATCAAAGCCTGCATCTTAAATGCGACGTTGTTTGGATTTAGGTGGGATACTTTCGTATTTTGTAGAATGAAAGTAAAGGAGATTCGCGGGGCCTACTGATGGTATGTTGCCTTGGCAGTGCTTCATTGTTTGCTGGAGTCTTCTGGTCTATGCGATCGATCAAAAAGGAGGCAGCAGAGTCTCGGCTTCCAGTGGTAACATTTAAGAGCGTTTATCCAACAATTTTGTCCAAATTATAATAGCTGACAACCGTTTTAACAGTTCTAGTTGCTGAATTTTTGGGATATTCAATCACTATTAGGGCGCTGAGTAGAGGCTAGTCGGTTTGCTTGTAATTGTGATTACGTTGTTCATCCTACGTTTTTTTTTGTCAAAAATCCTCAGAATTTTATTACCTTAGATCATGTGAGTTGTTGATTTGACATAAAAGATGCGGTTGATTAGCTTACACAGGAAATGTGTCCTTCAAGTGAGGAACAAAATGCCTAAAAACTGCAACAAAACACTACTCACACTTGAAACCTATTGCATTTCTTAGGGAATACGAGTAACCACTGCTGCGTGGGCTTTTATGGATCTTGCAGTAGGCATTCACAAGAGTGAAACAGCTTTCAGACATTTATCATATGATAAGGCTCTGGACACCTCACCAAGCCCCATCTGAGATCAACCAAGGTCGTGTCCTTTTTCCTCATCGCTCTTAATGAAACCAACACGTCTATCTGCCTTTAGAAACAAAATGGCGCAAAATCTCTGATAAGTCCCTCTAGACTTGCACTGAGAGCCCTCCTGGCAGGCACGGTGTTGAGTTTTGCGATTACTGGCGGTCTGGCGGGCGGCGTGTGGCTGATTCTCGGTAGACCCTCCCTTCAATCGTTAAGCTCGGAGCTCGACTCTCGCATTCCCAAACTCAAGCCATTGTCGACTGAAGAAACCTCACGCACCGATTTCATGTCCTTCAGGGAGCTCTTCACATACATTCAGGATGAGGGTGGTGCAAATAAAGTAGAATAAACCTCGTTTATTTTGACAATGTTATTTGTCCTTCGGAAGAAAATAGCATCACAGGAGTAAGATGG